ACTGACACTAAGGTCAGTGAAGATGGAACGGCACAACATATGCCGTGGTTGAGTCCCCCTTGCAAGCAGCCCCTTGTAACCAGTCCTCAGTGGAGCAAGCAGAGACCCACTCGCAGCCCATCAAGGATCCATGTCGAGAAGAGATGCCAGAGCCTGAGCACGGTACGCATCTAGAGTCCGTGAGATGACCCCCGCCGATGGGGAGGTGTTTCGTTAAAGGAGATGCCTGAGCCTGGGACTATTGTGAATCACGGGCACAGGTCGAGGTGCATTTACGCATTTTAAGTCTGTATGGAGACGCATTTAAGGTCTATATGACGACCCATGCCAGAGCGAGTGGCTAAAACTCCCTAAGAACCCGAGACTGTGGTAAAGCCCGCACTTGGGGCAATCTGTTGGGGAAGGATTGCCTCCCAGCGGGTAGGACCTCACGCTTTCCCGTGAGCAGGGGACCCGCTGGAGCAAGGGACAATGGTGTAAGGACTCCTTCTCCTTTAAGAGAAGCGACAGTAACAACATGGAATGAACTGACCTGCACTCCCCCAGTCCCTGCCCCCTGCTCCACTGGGGGGAGGAGGTAGAGCCAGGAAGGAAAGGCAAAAGGGGGGAGTGGTGCTGATTTTAAGTTCTGGCCTTGTTTTCTTGTTATCCTCTCAAGTAACCGTTTTTGTTTACTTTTCTTTTTGTAGGTAGCTGTTAATAAACTGTTTTGCTTTAAGGAAACTGAGCCTCTTTTGCCCGGGACCGTGGTTGGTGGGTGCTCCTCTGTTCCTGTCTTGACCCTCAGCTCTTTTATTATATTTTTCTCCTCTCCACTTTACTGGAGTGGGGGAGCTGCATGGAGTTTAGTTGCCGGATTGGCCTAACCCACGACACCTTCCCACCTGGACTGGTGAGTGGATGTTCAACAGGGATGGCCGCAGTGCATCCTGCAACAGCTATTGCTGGCACAAAAGGTGACCAGGCAGCAGGACTGGTCGTCGGGACCATGACCTACAGTGAGTGAATGAGACCAGTGGCCTCCTGTCTGTTGTGACAAATACTATTAACTCACAGGCAACATGGGCTGATTGAGGGAAAAAGTTATGTTTTCAGAAAGAAGAGTGAGGAACTCCATGCTTGAGTTCAAGACAGCTTGTGTTAAAGAGTAATATTGTGCTGTGGATGAGCTGAATTGGTCAGAAAGAGCTCGTACTTTGCCAATACAAACAATTATGACTCACTCAAGTGTATGACACACGCTCAGGAGATTGAATCTGAATTTATACCATGAAATTAGTGTACCTAAATCGAGAGTGCAAAAAAGCACTTTAACTGTTAGTCCATTTGCAGCACACCTAAAAGGTCCCCGGTTCTAACTTGTGGTTAACAAGTCAGCCTACTAGAGATGCAGTCAATTTTTTAATGAGGTAGTTAACTGCCTTAAAAGCCACTTAATATCTTTAATCTCCCTAAGCATTGTGAATCCAGTGGGACTTTTAACCTTCCCCTCTCTAATCATTGTATCTGAACGTCATACACAGTGTGGGACATGTACATTCACAGCATCCTTGTGAAGCAGAAGACATATTATCCTGGCTTAGACATGGAGAACATGGCATGATGCCTCGACTGACTGCCCCAAAGTGTCCGAGCACGGCGCTAACTCTGCCGTCCCAACCAACCACTCATCTGCCCTCCCCTGTTAGCATCAGGATCAGACATTCCCATCTGAGAAAATAAAGCAAGGAAAATACCAAACTCCTTGGGCTAAGAGGGAGCAAATGAAACTTTCAGACCCTTTTCACTGTAGAAAAAGTAACGGCTTCAGAAGTGAAGCAATTAACATTCAAGCAGTGTATTCCTGGTGCATCAAGAAAGCTGCATTTGCACTGATGTGCGCTCGTGGGCCAGACAAAAGGCTGGATTTAGAGTTGGTATTTGGCTTTCAGAGACTGAGGTTACAGAACATCAACATAATTCGTACTGTCGAAGCACTGGGCAGTCTCTGTCCCAGGAAGCAGAGACACTGGGTGCTGTACCTAACCCCCTGGTAACCCACAGGAGGGATTTCTCATATCCTGGGCGCTGATGCCTGGTGGGAGCAGGAGAGGCCACCCAGAGCAGCTAGTGAGTGCAGGAGGGATGGGAACAGAGATGGTCTTTACATTTCTGCCCCTCCGTACATCCTTCCTTTCCCTCCCTCCTGTTGTGTCCAGCTCCGCTGGACTGAAGATGAGAAGGGGAAGCAGGAGGCACTGGCAGTGTCTGCAGGCACATGCAGGGACGCAAAGGCAAAAAAGGCCAGGGCAGTAAACGTAAGGTCTCTCTGACACACGCTGCCCTGATTCCAGGCTACCCATCCCTGAGTCTTCTTCACCACTCTGGGGCTGTGAGACTGCCCAGCCCTGCTTTACAGAGCGCCGAAACAGCAGCTGAAACAGCTTCAGAGAAAATAAAAGCCGCAGAAATTGAATGCTACGCAAATGTGTTAGAAAATGGGAAAAAAGTCTAACCCTGTTCTTAGCAGACATTGGAGATGGTCAAAAAAGCGGGATCCATGGTCTTTGGTACCCATCTCTGCCAGCTAAGTCTTAGTCAAGCAAAGTACTCCTTGAAATCAGTCCCCTGGTCATATTTTGAGGTTTAAACCAAGTTCTGTCACAGATTAGACTTCGGCAGGGATACATCATTCTCCAGAAATCTACTTTATATGCTAGATGAACCTCACCTTGCAGCACCTGCTTTAAGCACTGTAAGAGGCAAGGTACTGAATCAGATGAATGATAGTTCTGATCTCTTATGACAGGTACTGTCTTTGCTACTCTCTTCCCTCGAATACTTTTATTCTACGAAAAGGTCTTTTAATGCTCTAAGAATTTCTCAAGCAAAATGTTTGTATAACCTTAGTCACAGCTTGACCAAGTGTCTAGCCAAGGATTTAGGGTAATGGTCATTCCCTAAGACCACCAAGAAACAGCGAACCCAAAAAATGCCTGGAAGAGTTGCTTTCTTGGGCAAGCAGCTTAGGATTAAGAAAAAAAACTGTAAAAATTACGATCTATTTCCAGATATTTTATGAAAATTAAAAAGAGCCAGGCTTAGTTACAGACTTCAGAATAAACATTTAACAAAATGCAACACAAAAAGGCAAACTCCCCTTGAGACAGAAAGATTCATTAGACCAACGATACATGTAATACCAATCGCATTCACATTCACCCCAGACCTTTTCTGAAATTTAATCGACACTCTAGAGACCCAACTCCTTCCCTCTTCAAAAGGAAACGAAGTTCAGCGTTATTCCCTACCCCTGCCTGCAATGTGCTGACAATCCCTCCCTCTGAAAACCTTGGCCCTATTCTCTAGCCTCATAGAAAGTTTCACAGCCACATCTCATTGCCTTAGCAAGAAACCACAAGTCATTAGTGTCCTCTGAGCTGGAAAGACACCTACATTTCAAATTTTCTGTCTGTTCTATTTCTACTGATACATTCATCCTGTATCATCAACAGATTTTTCACTTTGAGCTTTATGTTATTGAAAACAGCAAATGACAATATTTTTAAGCCAGCTCAGCCTAAGGCATTCCAGGATGCCAGGTATAACATCAGCAGCTGGTTTAAAGGGAAGGGAGAAAAAAAAAAAAAAAAAAAAAGAGATCTGGTACCTGCTGCAATAATGATATACGGGTCCTTCAAAAGTGTCAGTAATGGTGTCCCCTTCTGACTCTACGAAACAAAAGCCTGGGATTAGGAAAGGCAAAGCGTCATCCATTGCCTAGAGTGTTTTACCTTTAATACTTACTTCTGCTTGTGCTCTGGATGGCTGCAGAACAAATAATTGAACAGCTGCGAAAAGAAATCAATACTGTAACATTTCTTTGAGAAGGGGGTTAGATGGTAGTAATATGAAAGGGATGAGCTACATGGAGATACTGACTCTTCGTATTTACTGACCTCCATCTAACAGAGCTAGGGCTGCCAGCACCAGGAAAGGAGAACTCTTCCCCACAAACTCATACATGATGCTCCCAAAAGGTGGGCCCACTGCCAGGGAGAAAGAAAGGACACGGTCGTGAAGCTGCATCTCTCACTCTGAACAAACAGTCTCTGCAAGCCTTTGGGCATCCTGCTATTGGCACTTAGTGATCAAAAAGCTCAATTTAAAAACCCCCATGAAGCTCATTGATCATCACAATAAACATATTCTTTATTCCCCAAAATACTTTTCCACGTAAACAACACCCAAACATGTGGCAGTGTTCAAAGCCAGGTTGGATGAGGCTTTGAGCAAGCTGATCTAGTGGAAGGTGTCCCTGCCCGTGGCAGGGGGTTGGAACTAGATGATCTTTAAGGTCCCTTCCAACCCAAACCATTCTGTGGTTCTATGATGTCAGAGACTATTGCCTGACATACGTATCCACATAAGAAATGTGCTGCTGTGGGAAGAACTATTCTTAGCATGCACCATGAATCTCATCTGGGGACAGCACAGTAACATTACCCTTGATGAGACTCTTCTGCTGTTTTCATAGATCACAAGTACATGCTTTGGGCAAGACTGGGGGGTGCTTTGTCTTACCAGCAGAGCCTCCAACTCACTGACCTAACACTCCCATAGCAAGGCCTCCTAGCGCAATTCCCATTGCGTTGCCTCTCTCTTCATCATCTGTATATACACTGGCGAGCATACCCATCCCTAAAATCAAAAAAAAAAAAAGAAAAAAGAAAAAAGCACAACAGAAGATTAGGCATCTGTGTACTACAGTTTATGGTCATCATTTTCCAGCCCTACTAAACATTACACAGAGATGACAGCAGGTATCTGTATATATAAAAATATCAACATGTATATTTGCTCCTCATAGAATTCACTTTGAAGCAAAAAGGGGTTTGCCAATGTAAATGGTCTCTAAGACCTTGTTCCCTTGTACAGTATTACTCAGGTAATTTAATGATGCCCTGATTTGCTAGATTCTTTATCCCTGTTTTTGTCACAGAGCTTTTAGATGATGCTTTCCAACTAGGTGAAACAAAGCTTTTGATGAGTATTCACTATTTGTTACTTATACTCAGGGCACTTGACACAAAGGTCTGGTGACCACTGCTGGCTGTAACTGTGGTCAGTGCCAACCATGCTCTGGGGCTGAGGTATTGTGCAGAGCTGAAAACTTTGAGAATGAGTATTTCAAGTTCAACATCCAAAATCAAAGGATTCTTTTGACCTTTATCTTCATATGCCTCACTTCTGCATTTGATGATGAACCTTCATTTCGCAAAAGGAAACATGAAGCCCAATTAATTTGTGTTTTTGTGAAGCACTCAGACACTGTACATGTAAATGCTGCAGAAGAATCCTCATAGAAATTAATAATTCTATTTTCAAATCAGAGTTTAAGTAGGACTCAGCAAATAAGGTCCACAGCTACACAGAAAGAGAAAACAAAACATTGCATGATTGATCACTTAGTGAATACCACCCATCACGTGCATCAAAAGATCAGAGGTCCTGTGTGGATTAACATGCTTATTGAAAATTGTGGATGGCATCAAATTGTTTGCATGAACAGTTGAAGAGCAAGTTAGAGAACGATATCAGAATTCACAACAAATTTGTAAGATTTGGGGAAATATTCTGGAAAAAACTAAGATGATAAGACACAGTTTTACACACTTAGGTAAAGGAAACAGGGGAAAACAACTGACTGGAAGCAATACTACAGGAAAAGTTGAGCATGAGTAAGAGCGTGTTTCAAATGAGGTGAACTTCATTTGCCTGTGAGATACATGAAGTGACTTTCACTCCTGCTGGCACTTGTAAGGAGTCAGAGCTTCTGAGAGCTGGGTCTGGTTTTGGTGCAGCACAGGAAGAAAGGTGGAGGTGACTGGAGACTATCCAGACAAGAGCAATGAGGATGAGCAAAGGCTTAGAAAAATATCCGTGAGGGACAACTGCAGGACTTTCAATTTAAAACCAGAGAGGAGAAACTGATGAGAGATGTGATAACAGCCCTGCAATATGAAAAACAGCCACAAAGACAAAGAGAAGAAAACTGTTCTTCATGTTCTTTCAAGTACAGGAAGCAGAAATGGGTTTAGATGACAGTAAGGATGCTTTAGATGAGACATCAGAAAAAACTTCCTGACAGTAAAGGTAGTTAAGCACAGAGCTAGATGCTGAGGGCATTTCTGGAGGCTCCTGAGAACATGCCTGTCAAGTATGCATGAAGAATTACAGACAGAAAGCCGATCCTGCCTTCAGAAAGGTGAGCTGGATGGTCTCTTGGCCTTTTCTGCTCTATTTTGCAGGTTGTCTGTGAAAAAAGAGTCATGTACTCATCTGAGAACTGTATCTCAAAGTACATACTGGCACAGGGACTGAGTTAAAGCAGAACAATAATTTTGATTCTGGCATGACTTCCCTTTGGAAAGCTTGACTTGTAACCTTAACTTGTAAAAATTAAAAAGATAGATTGTCTTGTCTCTACCCCTCCTGCTTGTCTTTGCCTTCCCCATCCCTGGCTCCTCATCCCAGCCCCTGCCACATCCCCACTCTTCCATGCTTAAATCTCTGCCTAACTAGTGGCTGTTGTGCAGATTCAAACCCATCTACAGCAAAAGGTGCTTCTTGCTCCCAGTTTAAAATCTCAGTCTGGGGCATTGCATCTCCCCAGCTGCCCCCAGCAGCGGTGCCCAGATGTGGGCTGGAGCAAAATCCTTGCGAAAGGAACCTAAAGAAATCCAGCTGCCAAATTCTTGTTAAGTTTATACAGATTGTGTGTGAACCCTGCTTATAGGGCAGTCTAACTTGGAAGAAGGACTTCCTCAGGAAGCCACAAGGCACATTCTTGACAAAAAGCTCTCTTCACCTCCCCATCCAAGCAAAATTTTTTCCTGCTGCCATCATGGGAAATTTTTCGAAGGAAAGATTGTGAAACATTCTAATATTAACAAACCATATTTTCTCCAGTCTCAGAAATGGCTGTGTAATTTGGGGTGAAAACCTGTATTCCATTTAAAACTTACAACCTTGTATTGGAAATCTGGTACAGGTAACTTGAGTCCAAACTGGCAGACAGCACAGTAAGTTCTTGAAAACAACATTTTACAACAGAGATTTCAGTAACAGACAGAGGTGCTATCCATAAGTTCCTGATGACCTTTAAAATGGCTAAAAATGAATTTAAAATGTTGAAGACACACATGCAGAAATCCCAGGGAGAGTGCAGTTCGTTTAGTGTTCTATCTTACCGCAACCCAAATACCAAGGAAGTTTGAAAAGACATTTACATTTGAGCTATTTTATATGAAAGGGACAGAAAAAAAAGTGAAATTGATTTAATATTTTTTTTATTAATTATTGAAACTGCAGAAAAATATAATTTAGAAAATTACTAAAAATCAGTGATCTGTATTTTGCTCTATCGTCTCTTCTCTTACCTGCCACAGAAGAACAAGAGGACCCCACTCCTTGAAGGGACCTGGCAATAAACAGTAATGTGTAGCTTCCTGAGAAGGCAAACACTACAGAAAAAAACAGAGGTAAATTTTTTAAAATTAGGTTAACTCTAACTAGGTTAAAAAGTTAGATTTCTTGAAACTATTGCAAAAACTTCACACAATTTAGTCAAATGTTTACAGTGACTTGTGCCACTTTCAATACTAACTGCATTACTTTCTCTTATTGCATTTAGATGTGTCAGTGTTGAATTGCTCTCAGGTGTCTAAGCCTCCTGGTAACAGAATGCAAGGGCACAAGCAGTTTTAACTAACTACTTAAAATTTGATTACATCCTGCTCTGATTCAGCTGCACACAGAGGAGTAATAAGACCTTTCTTTCCAGCCTCGCCTACCAAAACTGCTTCATTTAAGGCTGTCCAGGCTGAAGCTCCAGGTGTTCAGGGAAAAGAGGACTTAACACAGACGCACCCACATGCACTGATGCTTTTCCCAATAAGCAAATGGGCGCAGAAAGGTTTTTACTCTGGTGTTGCTGTGCAAAAGGTGCAGGGAAGCCAGCTTCACCCACTCAAGGGCTGTGGCAAGTTCCTGATCCTCCCAAGAGCAGACCACCCGAGCAATTGCACCTGAGGAGGTGCCTCTGTCTCTCCCAAAGAGATTTTACCCCAGGCTCTGAGTAAACTTCTGCCTTTTGGGGCAGAGCTCCTGGATGCTGTGCTTATCAGTTCAGCTAAATTCCTCATCCATAATGCTGGAAGGTAGGAGTGTCCCGGAAACTCAAGTGCATTTCTGCTTGTAGAGCCTGTGTTATGGTGAGTGTTATTAATCTACAGTGAGTTTTTTAAAGCTTTTTTCAGCTCCTACCTGTTGGCCTCCTAAGGAATTTTGCCAGACAGGTTATAGCTGGGGGATGCTGTTACTCATCAACTAAACCCAAGATCTACATGCGCTTCTCCCACTAGCCCTGCAGTATTGTGACCCTCAGGCTTTTCACCAGGTCTTAACAAAAATCCCTACCCACGTAGACCAAGAAAAATCAAGAAAAATAAAGGAAGAAATTATGCCAGCAAATCAACAGTACTCCCCTCTGCCATGAGTTAAGCTTACTATCCTTATCTCCATCCCAACCAAAATTTGTCTTGGTTTGTCTTCCTAAAATGCAGACTTGTCAGTGAGTCTAAGGCCAGGTAATCTTCTCCAGCACTTCAGTCTCCTTGATGTTTTTAAGCTCATTATTCCTTCTCTTATGTACAGTGGACAGGGAAAACTGTTCTTTTCCTTTTTGTCATAGACTCTGATACGTCTTGCATCTGCCTTCTGAAGCATATCTGGTTCTTTCACTGTTCGTCACAGGCTTCTAATGATCCTTGATGTCCTCCTCTGTACTCTTTCCATCTGGGCCACAACTTTAAGTACCATGTCAAAACCGAACATAAAACAGCAGCTGAAGCCTTATCAATGCCATTAGAGCAGACAAATTATCTCAGCTGACTTGCAGGCTGTGTGCCTGTTTGCACATCCCACAGCGATGTTTAGCAACGCTATGATACTGTTGACTCATATTCTACTCATGAGCCACTGCAGACTCACTATCTTTCTGATAAGCCCCTACAATAGCTAGTTGTTAAGGACTCTGCAAAATAACCCTCTCATGGCTGATAGCTCTCCCATGGCTGTCAATTTACAGCTCTCCGAGCACCACTTCAGATTACGAGAACCTGAGAGGAAGATTCAGCTGAGGAAGAGATCTGCCGAGGTGGGATGGAAGGTGGTGAATCCCTTGGAGCACATTCATAAGAGCACACTTGTCAAATCTCATCAGCGCCACCACCCACTGGAGCAGCCACTCTTACATTTTTCTTGGAAATCAGTCTCTCTACATCAACAAGAAGAATTCCTGGTGATAATTATTACAGATCTTTTATTTTATCGTTGCATCTGGGCCAGACCAAATAAGATGTGGTCACTTACTGATTGTTGACACAAACATGATGCAGAAGCCAGCAAACAGTGGAATCTGGTAGCCTATTCTGGAAAACAAAATGAACATTCACATTTCTGGGATCGTCTCACCGGCATTTTGAGTTAGACTTACTCACATGAGTGCACACACCACAAAAAGCCAACCTGTAGTTCCCTGATAGGCTTTGAACTATATATTGTGGACCACATGATCAAATTTGTCCGTGTTACAAGTGCCTTTTCATCTGGCACAGCAGAATTTGTATCTAAAATCCCTGGAAGAAATCCTTCTTTCATTAGAATCTGATTGCCTGGTTCTCATTCCACCGTAATTGTTCCCAATAAAGCCCCTCTGGGCCTCCATGGGATTGCCAAAGATACGAGAAGAGAAGATTCGTCTGAGCATGCTGAGCTTTGAAATATCTCAGTAGTGTTTTGATGCTCATCTGTTTCCATCCTCATGAGACAATGACTATAATGAGACGCAGTCAAACCAATGGCTTTTTTACTGGGAAAATTTGTCACCAGCTTTGTTGGGAGTTCCGCCTCAACCAGGAGCACTGGAAGAGTCCCAAAGAGCCTGAGAATAATATTTTTGCTTTCCATGGGTTTAAGAGTAAAAATGGAGCTAATCAAAGCTTTCTTCATCAGTCCACTTCTTCATCAGGACTCTAAACAGCCTGTAGAAATGCCTGGTTGCTGTAAGTATTTTTGAGTTTCCAGGAAATAAAGGATTTTCTATCTGGCAAGCAAATACGTATTTTCAGCAGCTAAAAATGCAATTTCAACCAAAAAAAATCACAATATACTATTTTTCACACCGTAAAAATCTACCCTAGAATCAAAACCATTACCCAGGTAGCTCTGAAGATAGTCCATCTATTCTCTTCAGTGTGCTTTATTCACCGCTTCTTTTTTATAAGATTCTGCATCTGAAATTTATCTGTATTATTTAATGGCCAAATTCTTCAACACTTACTTGATTTATTTAATTTGTGTTATTTAATGGCCACAGTCTTCAACAATGGATGATGCTTTTCAAAGGAGTACTGATTGACTTCAACTTCCAATGATTTGACAGTATTGGACGTTTATATTGGCAGTACTGGCTTAGGTAGATCAATCAAATAATGGAAGAGTCTATAATTCCTTTTTATTTAGTATAGTAGTCCTTTATTTAGGATCGTAGTCCTGACATAGGTAAACCAACCTAATTATTCTGAGCTTTGTTTTAAGTTAATGTGATTTTTATACAATTAAAACCCATGGATAATGGAAAATTCTCTGAAGTGCAGAGCTCAATGTTCTTTATATGTCTCATTTTAACATTTGTTTTGAGTTTTATGAATGAAAGTCTAGCATGCACATTTCTGCATGCCACAGAAATGTCTAATGAAGAGCAGGTGGAACAATTTTGCCTTAAATATCATCGCTACATTAAAAATATGACAAAAATGTAGTTCTTCTCGTTGAAATTTTTAAGTGGGTGTTGCAAATATCCAATAGAGAAGACCAGTTACTTTTGTGGTTACTTAACTGGACTGGTATCTCCAATGCAAATTAAATCCCTGGCACTATCACAGACTTCCTCTGTGACCTTATGATAATAATTTTAATCTCTCAGCATACTACTACCTTTCTTTGTCTGCTTTAGTTAAAGAGGATGATTTTTCTAAGCCTGTTTCTTCTCTTGCTGTGTGTATAGTAGGTACTATACAATGGGATGCTAATCTCCACTGATGTTTCTACCTGCACGAGGAAACTGAAAATTACCTGTTACCAACTTCTTGCCTGCCTCAGAGCTGAAGTAGGCACTCCCCGTCCCAGTAGGCTTGGGTAGAACAGGACACAGAGAGTTTGACCATAATTGCTTTGATTTTGAATTTCTCAGTTAAAAAAAAGCACTGATAAAAGTACCCATAAAAAAAAAACAAACCTGCAGGTATGGCTACTGCTGTTGGTGAGCGATATCATCTTTCTCTGTGGTATGAAAGCAAAAGTTGAATGTCCTTATGCTTTCTTCCGTTGCAAAGTACAGTACGGTTGTGTCTGCCAAGGCCATCCCAGAGGTATCCAGGACGGACACCGGAAGGGAGAAGTCTGATTTCAGTACAGAAATCAAGCAGTTCTCAGACATGACACAGGGGCCATGAGACAGTAATTTGCTTCTGCTACAAGTACACTGAATTAAAATTCAGTTATTTGCATGAAGACAAATGCCACCCACATTCACATTTCCGTCACTAGATCAAAGACATGAGCTGTGAGATCTTCCATAAACACTAACGAGTTAAACAAAGCGAAGGGCTATCATATTAGTTCTAAATGATACTCTATCAAGCTAAAGCAGGTTTCAATTCTTCCAATAGGCTTCCTACACTTAGCAAGTTTCTGATGGTTGAAGGCTGTAAGAAAACAAGTAATTTGGAAGTCACTTTAAATGCTCAATGAAATACCATTCAAACATTGTTCTTAATTTTTACAGTGACAGGTATTATTCTTCCTTTTTCACAGCAAGGTGTGAAGTGATACATAGCAGAGGGTGATGAGGGCAGAACTGAAGCAGAACTCAGTCCTATTCTTGCTACCCAGCAGACCATGCTGCTTTATCACACATATCAAGGCCTAACACATGCCTTTTCCTCCACACAGAAGTTAATCATTTGAGAACTAGACTCTGTGGGCACAGCGAGTCCTTTCAGCCAACGTCTGCATTGCCAGTGATCCACCACGCAAAACGATGCAAAGGTATATGGGTCAGCATGTGACATGCATCTGTGCTGAAAACAAGTCATTTTAATCCTCTGAAAAGCTAAAAATTACCTGGAGCTGTTTCACTCACAATTTGGAGATGCACGATTCTGGTGTGCTGCCCCTGTATGAGACAGTTGAACCTCTAGAAGTCATGGTTGCTCTTGCTCAGTGGACAGTCTTACCCACATCCAGATGACATTTAGTTTGAAATGCAGATTGTCTTTTCCTGTATAATCACAGCAAACTCTGCCTCTTAGCAAACCCTGCCTTCTCCTGAAATAGCAGCACTAATTAGTTGGCAGTTGCGCTACCACAAATGCCTAATCTGCAGCTGCATTCCCTGGCCTGTCCAACGGATACTACAGAGCACAGACTGGGAGGTTTTGCTCAACAGTTACACTATAAAACATAAGTAATCACAAAAAGGAGAGGCACTAAGTCAACTGACTATTCAGTGATTCTGTCCTTTGGTCCTGGGCCATTCATGTTCTTGCCATGTGAAACATGGGAATATGCAGTTTCTGCTTCTTGGCCAGGACATGACTTGCTCCATCAGAGTTATCTCTGCATTTTGTTCCTCTGCATGTGTGCAACTCAAACAAATATTACAGCCTGCCTTGTCTTTTTTCTTGTTACCACATTCGAGCACGTCATTTTTTCGTGCACTCTTTTCAAAACCCTCCAAGCGAACCTGAAGCAGAGTCCAGCATGTTTCACCAAAGCTACCTGCAGCTAAAAGTGCTTCCTACAAATATTTCTGACCTCTCAAAAAGCCACTCATTAGTTGAAGGAGGGAGAGGAAAGGCTGCCACTGATGGAGAATGCCTAAATTACTCCGTTTCAGTCCCACGTTGGCCCCAGATTACAGGACTGTTTGGAAGTGGATTACACCCATTAATAAGGTTACCCTACAATAAGACAACCAATTGAAGGGCCCTGTGCAGCAGTAAAATAAAGGTTACACTGACCAGGTTAGCAGCTGTGGATGATTAGGGCCTAATTATCCATCCATTACAGTGCTGCAAATCCACTGATTTCATATTTGCTACTATAAAGCTACACCAGTACCACCGTGAGCACCCCTTGTTACATCTGTCATGGTTGGCAGTCTGGCCATCTTCACTGCCAGTGAAAACTGGGGAGGAGGTATGGCAAGAAGAATATTTTCCTTGAGGTTATGAACCACTGAACCTCTGAAAGTGTGTGAAGGTAAGGAAGAATGTGCAGGGTCGGCAGCGACAGGGAGCGTGGCCCATGCACTCTCCACCTCCATGCTCCGTGCTGTGGCACAGGGTAGGCAGGGAGGCTTTGACTGCATACCTGGTCATTTCAATCACCTGCCAAAACCTGAAAGGAAAGCTTACATAGGAACTGAACTGTAACTAAGTAGTAACAAATGCCATTTATTTCTCTGCCTCGTTCTTTGCATGTGTCTTGGTCATGAACACATCATGGTCCTTGCCACTCTCTCGCACGCAAAGAAGTTCAAAGCTGTAGTCAGGCTGGTGTAAAAATGATGATGAAAATAGCTGTTCATTTTTTAATGATTTTTGAGGCCAATATGGATAAGCACAAGGTTAAAACTACATATTTTTTCAGAGAGATAAATAAAGGGGCTCACAGCCTCATGCATAGAGCTTGGTAAGAGTTTGAAAAAAATAATGGGGTAAATCAGTTAGTTATCGAGGGCACAGCAGCCTTTTGCCCACTCTCTTCACTGGAAAGGATTGGCCAGAGCTTTCAATCTCCCCTTGCCAGTGCATCATCCTCACAAAGTGCCCTGTATCAAGAACTATTCTATTTGTGTAATTTCTTACCAATTTCACTACAAGGGAAAATATAATGTGTATCTGGGCCACAAAATCGTAGGAGCTCTGCCCTGAAACAGTGCCACGGTGGAAAGTGTGTTGTTGACACCCTATTGCAAAGCCCTCACCCAGCGTTTCCTTTGCCAGAACTTTGTTAGACCAAAGGTAAATTGTGTTGTTTCATGAATTGTAAATCAGTTCACTAAGCATGCTGTGTTTTGTCTGGTATTCCACGAAAAAGTCGGTCTTTAAATAAGAAATATTTTTAGCAGAACTTAACTTCTTGAATGAAACCAATTTTGAAATTTATTTTTGAATATCTACAGTTAAAGAGAAAAACAGCCTACAAAACTTCCAGAAAACCTAGAATAAAGTAGTAATTGGCACAGACTCATATGAATAGAATATCCTGTTGCATCCTACACAAACTCGAGCACTCAAAGCCAGAGCCTGCTGAAAGCCAGTAACTCCATACTTGATCAAAAATCTAAACCACTCCTGAACAACTGTATTTGATTGGAAAATAAAAAACATTAACAGAGTGTCCTACCCATTTGAAAAAGACACTTAATGGGTATCTCAACAAACTGCGCACACTAATCTTGAACTAAGCAACCCATTCTCCTTAGGCTGTGATATTTTGCTGAAATTTTGCAAAAGTAATAATGGCGATAACAATTATCACTGAACAGCTTATCAGTGGTAAGGAAGAGCCTTTATAATAACAACTCAAGATACTTTCTGTTTCATTTATAATCATAATGTTCACACTGCTTTTTAACTGATCATATACATTGTTATTAGGAAATAGCAACTTTAGCTGTTTTTTTGCCAATAAACTTCTACAGTTAATTGATAAATGTGTTAACTGATATTTCCCACTAAACGTTTCTCAGAAGAAAGGCAGATACTGGTACCAAGAAACAAATAAGGCATGAAAGAAAACCAGTAATCCTTAAATCTAATTTCAGGCCACTTTGCCACTAAGACACTCATTTCTGCTGTATGAGGGAAGAGTCTGTCGGACAGGACGCTGGGGTGATGTGCTCCTTGATTTTCCTTTTCTCACTTGTTGGGCATCTGAGTTTGCAAACCTGCCCCTATGATTGCAGTCACACACTCAGCCCCATGCGAAAAAAAACCTGTGGGATGTGTGTTCAAGGCCAGGTTAGATGAGGCTTTGGGCAACCTGGTGTAGTGGAGGATTTCTCTGCCCATGGCAGAGGGGTTGGAACTAAATGATCTTTGAGGTCCCTTCCAACCCTAACCATTCTATGATTCTATGATTCTTTGATTCTATGTTTCCAGGAGGAAATCTCAGCTCCCAGCACTAATGTTCACACTGGTGTATTGCCAACTCTGCTCCTAATAGCGAAAGGAGATGCTACAAGAACATCTTGTGCCAAACCTAAGGATGTACCATGTACCTCCCCGTGCCTTGGCACAAGCAGCACCAGGCTCCGCTCCTGAGACACACAGGTACACGGGCAGGCATCCGCAGGGACACGCACCCTCTTACTTAGGCAGATGTCTACCAAAGAAAGAGCAGATATCGTACCTACAGTATGACGTAACTGCGCTATTGAAAAAGACGTCGACGTCATGGAGTGTATTATTGTCTTTCTCCTGGTTTGGCAGGAAATGGTGATGCAAACAGAGAAAAGTAAATGTAAATAGGGCAATAATTTAGACATTTAGGAAAATCTAGAAGAATTCCTAAAGAACTATTGTGAAAATAATATTTGATGTTATGTCACTTTCCCTGTGGATGAGCTATCATATCCTCACAAAACAATACAGAAAATCCAGGTAACAAAAATCCATTTTCCCCCTCAACTTGCAGCATTATTTGTGGAAAAGTAATTTTGCAACGGTGCACTTATATCTTTGTAGGTGGTATGTGGTAGGAGATAAGGTGAAATGAGAGAGAAATGAAACTGTCTGTCATCTCATTTAAAGCTTTTGCGTTTAGACCAGTTCCACAGATTCAATATAGGTTCTGAATTTGTAACACCGTGCATCGAACTGCTGCTTAGCCCTCAGCTGGATACTTTTCTATCAGATTGAAATTAAACAGTCAGACAATATATATATGCTGTAAAATCTAAGAAAGGTAGTTTTGACTTCAAAACCTGAAATACGAAGCACTAAAAGGTTTTGGTTGTTTTGGTCATTGCCCCCTATGATAAGAATTGACTGCTTAAACAAAAGTGGTTTAGGACAAATTTCTTCAGCCTATTATTTTCTGAATAGAAAATTTCTTCTTTATAAAAATAGCTTAAATTAGAAATATGAAAATTAGTGACCCGACTAAATTCAATTTTGAGTTTATTTCCTGCAGGGATTGATCTCTTATTTAGCTTGGGAGGATTGCAGCTGCTTCTGTGGGGAACAGTTACAGAAAATGTTAACAATAAAATTAAACTAATTATTAACATCAGAACTTGAAATGATATTATAAATACCTTTTAGTCTCCGTGTAAACATCATCAGTGCTCAGATTTTGGGTTAAAAGTTATTGATATTGGTGCTTGTACCCTTGATCCTGGCTCAAATATATTTTCTATAATGTACCCTTGAAACGTATTTCGCTCAAGATATCATACATGAAAAAAAGTTTAGAGAGAACAGTTCAAAGGCTGGGCTAGATCACGTACTGATGGAAATCTGTGATCCATTGAACTCGGTGATGAACACGGCATCAGCAAAGTTTGACCCTTGTTCATTTTTCACTGAAGTTCATGTGAATTTCCCACTGATTCTCACCTCAGACGACTCCAAATTGTTGAATATCAAATCACACCACGAGCTGTGCTTCTCTATCAGAGCAAGGAAAGGACCTGAATCCTGCCTACAGCTTCAATATCACGTTTGTCTAATGTAGGTGTAACAGATATATCATCAATTCACAGTGCTTTGTAAATGTGTTTTGCCCATGTATAGATGCACACGAAGAAATTTCAACACCATTTCAGCAAAAGTTTCTATAAGAACCAGAGATCTCAGAAGCTGAAAGAAAAAAAAGTGTATGATACTGAACTCATCAAACGGCTCATGAGTAGCTTACCAATTTATTTTGGAAAGGGTGTAGGCATTTGGAAGACATGTTCATCAAAAGTATTTCACTAAAACACTCCTCTAGATAAAGTGAGAAAGTCAGTGAGTCAGGGCCGCAGCAAAATTAATAATACTTTGTTCAAGATACTAGACTGGACTAAAACACCAGTATAAAATCCTGAGTGACGCAGCAGAAATAACGTACCTGTTTGTCAGCGGCCCTATGAAGGGGTTAGTGATTAGCTGCACTGTTGCTTTTGAAGCAAACAAGAGACCGACTTGAACGTTTTCATTCAGAAGGTCCTTATCTTCCTTAGGGCAGTCAGATGGGGAAGGAGTCACATTTACTGTCATTTGTTCTGTCTGAGTAGGATGCAGCTCTCCAGGTTGTGTCTTATCAGATTCGTTTCCAGTAAGCATCGTTGAGTTGTCATAGTAGGAGAAGATGCTCTGAAAACTGTCCATCGTTGCTGAGACTAAGTTAGGCTTAGTAGTCTGGATTTCTGTGGCATTTTTCTCATGTTTGATGCTGTAAAGGTAACTGGGAATTATTGGCACTGAAAAAACAAATAGAATATATTGGCATCTTACTATCAGGTTATTTGTAAATGGAATCACCAAACTTTCCTGTTTGCTTTGCCATTGATTAGGAAATATAAGGCTTTCCTACAGAGCACATTAGCAATGATTTTGAACAGTGGAAACACAGAACTGAAACAGGAGTTCGCTCACAGGAAAAAACACACCCATAACTCAGAAGTACAGTTTAAAACAAAAAGTTCTTTTACATTAGTCTTTATTTTCTGCCAGTTTTCATAAAGGTAAGGATTTCCATATAGATATCATTCAGAAAGCAAAACACAAGAAGTGTCAAAACGCTGACATATCTGAAGAGCTTCTTTGTGGCACATGACTGCACAAATCTATTTATTAGATTGTGAAAACATGAAAGATGAGAAAAGTTCCAACAAAGTTGGAACTATTGTTAAACCACAATATTAAAAATGTAATAAAACACATTTCTAAAATAAACCACCAAAATATTGATAAGTAACAGCCATAGGAAGGAACAAAACGTAACACTCCTATATTAAGTAATCAGAGCTAATGTGTTGATGTTTGCGTATCTCATTATTTTTTAAAAATTTACATTGAAAACATGATCCAAAAGGGACCTTCTTTATATGCTTTAGGATCTTAGCAGCAATTTCATTGCATCAATACATGTATCAGAAATTAAGATTTCAGAATCTGTAAAAAGAGATGTCAGGTTCATTCAATTTAACACTAGTGACAGACTCACCCCTCCTTGTCCTGCATCTCTTCCTGAAAAAGCCTGCTCTTCCACTAAGTCTGCAAACTATAATAATTTCTAGGGCTTCTAGCATATGTATTACTGAATAAGTAATTAAATGTTAATAATGTTATAAGAAAATATATTCATGTAAAAAAAATCCACAATTGACTTGCTAAAAATATATGTTTTTAGCTAAGGTCTACATTGTGGCATCAGCTTTTAAGCTGAAGTCTCCCAAGAAATTCAGATTCAATCTGAATTCAGGAGTTGGATTCAGAAGCTGACACTGCAGCATCATCCAAGAGCTGGATCCACACAATCCAATTCACTTCTGAGAGAAGCATGTGCATTCATGTGTGTGTGTACCCATGAACCACTAGTTTCTCTGAACCCCCTTCTTGAAATTCATATAAACATCTGAATATGAGGATTTCGAAAACTACTGGTGAAAAATGTTCAAACGTTTTATTTGACTAGATTCCTAAATCTTGACACTGTGCCACTGAAGCCAGTAAAAGTTGCGTCTTGGACTTTGATCAAAACTTGGATTATTTTATTAAACCAACTCATAGAACTGTTTTTTTTTTAAACCCAGTTAGATAGTTTTCTTATTAATGTATAATTACAGACCAATGTGGGGGAAAGAAGAACTATCACAAGGAAACAGGCATCTCCAATGTTATCTAGCCTGTTGTTTCAGTTGCATGACCACAGGAGAAAAAACGATGACAAGCTAAAAATACTGTTATCTGTCATTCTGTGAAGTATTAGTAGAAAAAAAAGAATTATGAAGATCTTTTTATACCATTCCTTATCCTGCAATAAGCATAGAAATAAAAGCGAGACTACGATGCGTACAGCGGTGTGTTTGCAATACCTAGAATTTCATTAGTGTTTCAAAAAATAAACAAATCAGTGCTTGCAAATGTTTGGTTTGAGAGCATTAATCACGCATTGAGGGAGTACATCTGTCACTGGAGATTATTTCTGGCATAAATCGGGAGGAGAAAAAAAAAAACACAACAAAAAACCAACAACAAACCAATACAAAACCCACTCTACCTACCGACTACCGTGAGCAGCATGTTGTCCAGGAGCAAGGCGATGAAGACGATGAGCAGGATGAGTTTCCTGGACTGCCGGCTCTCCCGGAGCCAGCG